TCTCTCTCTCTCTCTCTCTCTCTCTCTCTCTCTCTCTCTCTCTCTCTCTCTCTCTCTCTCTCTCTCTCTCTCTCTCTCTCTCTCTCTCTCTCTCTCTCTCTCTCTCTCTCTCTCTCTCTCTCTCTCTCTCTCTCTCTCTCTCTCTCTCTCTCTCTCTCTCTCTCTCTCTCTCTCTCTCTAAGAAGATGTAAGCCCTGCTCCTACGTCCTAGGTGATGGTCGGCCCCTCTCGGGGATACCGCTTATTGTCATGATATTTACTGCTATGATATTAGATGGACTCGCCATATAATTATTCACGCTAGTCAAGAAATTTTGCCTGCATTCTGTGCTTCATGCATTTGCTAATGCGAGTGTGAAGTTGCCTATAGCAAACTAAGGAGTGGGCCGTTTGTTTGCGACGTAAAATCTCAATTACTCGATTCCAGACAGGAAGTTATTAACCATCTAGGGATGATAATGGTATTTTTTCACAGAAATGTATCTGATTATGTTTGTTCGCATAATTAATAATAATCGCCGAGTGAAAAACGCAGCGCAGCGACTAATTATCACGTGCATCGACTTGTGCGCGTGCCTTTTTGCGTGGAGTTTCATTCATTAGATACGTTCAATCTGCATGGAATTAATATTGATGGCTCTCTTAGGAATCGGGCTTTGTCAGTTTCTCATGCGATTTTGCGTTCAGTCTGTTAATTGTACAGTACAAACGTCCAGTACGCATCAAGATGTGTATAAAATGCGATGTCGCCTTATATGCTGCACTGCAACAAACATAAATACAAATGATGACATGAGATTCTGCCCCGATGTACTATAAATTAGAAATAAGCTTATTTGGTCATTAAAGGAACTCATCCGTCTCTACTAAGTACGTCATGCGCATAGCACGTCTCCCTAGATCTGTACCAAATTGCGCTTTCATCCTCTCCGGCCCATTGGCTCATCCAAGCATAGGGCAACTGCGGGGGGAGGGTGGGCTATAGCAACCACTAACGAGGGATGGGGTGGTATATGGGAGCACTGCAAGATCTTTCTGCGGGATTCAGCCGCCCATTTTAGTCATTCTTATGGCAATATCTGGCCCTAGTGAGCACTAAATTTGTGGCGCAATGAGTACTGATTTGTGGCGTTTCCAGTTCTGATTCTAAGACGGACGGTTGAGGGTTGGGCACGACCCTAATGCTCCTCCCCCCGTACCCGTCAGTGCTCCGGTCCGTCCCTTCTGAATCTAGACAGGAAAGCAGGAACTCTGCGCCACCAAACTGTAGTTTGAAGCGAAGAGAGCGGAGGAAGTGCATAATACATGGTGCAGCCGCCCTCTATTCACGAACTCTCTCGCTCTTTTCCCGCGTGCGTGCGCGCCATTGCAGGTCGGCGATCAGATACTGGACATTAACAACAGCAGCTTTCAGGACATCACGCACGCCGAGGCGGCCAAGGTGCTCAAGTTCGCGCGCCACATGATCATGACGGTGAAAGACGTCGGCAAGATACCGCACGCGCGCTCCCTGTACGACGAGACGCAGTGGATCATGGGCCGAGAGAGCAGCGACTCGCAGTGCAGCAGGTGAGAAAGAGAGAGAGACTGAGACATAGAGACTGAGGGAGAGACAGAGTGTGTGTGTGTGTGTGTGCATGCGCGCGTGTGTGTGTGAATGAGGGATTGAGAAAGGGAGTGAGAGAGGGTAAGGACGGGGGAGAGAGAGAGGAAGGGAGGGAGGAAGAGAAGCGGAGCGGCGAGAAAGCGAGAGAGAGAGAGAGAGAGAGAAAGAGAGAGAGAGAGAGAGAGAGAGAGAGGAGAGAGCGGGGAGATGTCTGATGGCCGCCGACACCATACACAGATGTAATACCTGTACACGCACGTTACTTAACTAATATATATATATATATAAATATAATATATGATATATATATATATATATTAATATAACTATTATATATAATTTATATATAATAATATATATATAATAATATAGATGCAGGATGGATAATCGTACCCAACTGTACAAGGTCATATTCAGTATTAAAATAATATTCCCAGTATTCTCGAATAACGGGCCTACGACATGGATTGATCATCGATCTGGCTCTGGACAGAGGAGCATGGTGGCTGGCTCCTAGTTCTTAGGTTCACTAAGGTTGTGCCATGAAGGCGTGGATGTGTATAGTGTTTCAGCACTAAATGCCTGTATTGCAGATGATAGCTGGAGATCAATATCAGGCATACTTTTACTATGCATAGTAGTAGGGCCTACTACACTGATATTGTGCGCTTACTGTGGTGTTAGTCGCAGGACGCCATTTTAATATATAGAAAGTGATACCCGTAGTGAGCAGTGTGTTCTTCATCGATGAAGAATTTGAATTACAAATAAAACCTTGCCACGTTAATTATAACGATTAAAAAAAATATACACCTGTAACGTATATCTTCTACTCAATATCTACTGCAGGTCTTCTTAACTTCTTATGTGAAGGAGGAATTGATTGCTTTTACTTTATTTAATAAGAGAAGAAACCGAGTAAATGTGACGAGATTTAGTTATGTGATTTCCAATTTTTCAAATGAAATCGATCCGCGAACTACCTTGCTACGGTCGTTGCACACGCACGCGCTGCCGCACCAGATTCGCCATCTTTATAGGCCGCAATCTTTCCACTCGGGTGCGTCTCAAGCATGAGAGTTGCCATAGGAAAGCCATCGTGGCTTCCGTGCTTATGCCAAAACCAGTTCTCGCGCGACGCAATGTCTGAGGGCGGTCGGATGACCCGAGTTATGATGAAAATGCACTGTGACGTAGATTCGATATTGAGGCTCAGAAGTGACAATGTCGTTTTCTAATCAGTCGCTGTCAGTTCTAGTGAGAAGGTTGAATGGGTGAGGATGATAGCCCCCATTCTCAGTCGTAAGTTCATTGCAATTCCTTTAACAGGGCGCAGTTGAAAACGCCACTCAAGCACCGTCGCCCAAAAGAATTATCGGAATAATTTTCGGCTGTTGCTAAAACGTTCGCGCTACAGGGCACGTCGTACGCAGTGTGTGGCGACCATTAGGCGAGCGCAGCGATACACACGATACATGCAGAGCAGTGTTGTTCAGAAAAAAGAAACGTTTCGCCATATGTTGACATATCGTATCTGCCTAGATGTAGTTCATATTGCGACTTTATTGCATTCACTGCATGCCGGGAGCAATGCTGTCGTGTGTACTCGAAGCCAATGCTTATCTCCATAAATCGAGCGCGTTGTATATACAGCGCTCTGCACACCGGTCTCTTCCGCTGCCTTGCTTTCTCCGACTTCTCATTGTAGTATCAGGTTGTAGATGCCCTGAACCAATGTTAATGCCCATGGCCTTCCGCCCAAAATTGGTTTTCCACCCTCGGGCCGGCGGGCGAGGGGGATTCATCAGCCTTCATTTCATTATCATGACAGTCAAATGCGAGACAAGCTAGGAAAAAGAACATCGGCGCGCATGCGCTGCGGCAATATAGTATCTCACATGTCAGACAAAAATCGAGCGTGTACCTCTAGCCCTCGCTCTCTTGTCTTTTGCTGTGTATCCACCACGCGTGCTGTGCAGCCATGTGTGGTCCGTTGTTTATCTTTTGTGCCTGCCTGCCTCTCTCCTCTCTCTCCTCTCTCTCTCTCTTCTCATCTCTCTCTCTCTTCTCTCTCTCGTCTCTACATCTCTCTCTTTACTCTCTCCCTCTCGTCCTCTGTCTTCGGCGCTTCCTCGTCGCAAGAAAGTCTCTCGACATCTTTCTCACTTATTCACAACCGGCTCTCCATATGTGTCGGTGTGTAGTGCGCGCGGGATGCGGTGTAGTGCTACGACCGTGTGGCGTAGTGGTGGTGCGTGTGCCGTCGTGACGTGTACGTGTGGCGTGGCGTGTGTGAGAGGCGTGGTATGACATGTGACGTGTAATGCGTGCGTAAGTAGCGAGTGCGTGGTGTCCGTTTGTTTAGACCGATTAGCAGACTAAGAATCTGCATTCGCGTTGTCACGTCACTTTACTCGTCGCGAAACCCAGTTTTTTCACGAGAACGTCCAAGATTCGCCAGCTTATTTTATAAACGTCTATAATTTAACAGACAATGTTGTTTAAACGAGAGGCATATCGTTGTCAGCCAGTAACACGCAAAACAAGCTCTCTCCTCGCGTGCAATTTGCGCTGCTGTGCTAAGTCATGCAATTTATGCCAGTCATTTCATCTGATCCTAATTGCGTGGACGTCGACCGATCGCAGCTGCCGTCACACAGAGTTGTATATGTATTTTAGGCTCGAAACAAAGTATATCCCCCTGTTACGTTTGGTATTAGAGAGTCCCGTTTATACGCTATGGGTGTATATAACATCCATCACGCGATCGTTCCGAAACTGTTCCTGTGCATGCACGTCATGTTACATCTGAGACTCCCGCCAAACCCAACAAGCCATTCAGTAACCGTCCCCTCCCATTTCCACATCATCTTCAATGCGTTCAGGTACATGGTATTGCATTTAAAGTGGACCTCTGCATTGCCACCGGATAACGCTGCCGAGTAAATAATATATGCTAGTTGACGTTACGAATATGATTGAGAAATCGACACGCCGTCCATGTTTTGCAGCGTACAAAGAGGAGACAACTTCAGGTACTGAGCAGGACTCCGACAGTCAGCAATCAGAGGTGAGTATGTTGTATCGTCGATGGCAATGCCGAGAAAACACGCGCTCTCCCGACCCCACAACACGCACAATGCGCGCCAGAGCGCACACACACGGAACCTCACACGCAGCATGCCGGCCAGCTTGTCATTTCATCAATCACATTCACGATATGATTGAGCGCAGCTAAAACGTACATGATAGGTGTCGACACGTGCACGAAAACCCCAAAGCGTGCCAGTGGGGCGTGTCACGCTAGACTCCCGACCCTCCCCGACCCAGGAGATTGCGAGGAGTGGATATCCCATGACTCGTTGCGACGAGGCGATTCGGCGGTGCTTGCTGGCTTGAGGGATCGAGCATTTCTTTCTTTCTCTCTCCCTCTCTCTCTGTCTCGCGCTCCCTCTCGCAGTCTCTCGACATCTTTCTACTTTTCACCCGTCTCTCCATGTGTGTACGTGTGTGTGTGCGCGCGCGCGTGTGCGTGTGTGTGCGTGTGTGTGCGTGTGCGTGTACGTGTGCGTGTGCGTGTGCGTGTGCGTGTGCGTGTGCGTGTGCGTGTGCGTGTGCGTGTGCGTGTGCGTGGGCGTGTGTGAGAGCGTGTATGTACATGTGCGTGTATGCGTGCGTAAGTAGGAGTGCGTGTGTCCGTTTTAGACCGATTAGAGACTAAGTCTGCCCATTCGCGTTGTCGTCATTTACCGTCGCGAAACATTTTTCACGGAACGTCCATGATTTCGCAGCTATTTTAAACGTCTATAATTTAACAGCAATGTTGTTAAACGAGAGGCATATCGTTGTCAGCAGTACACGCAAACAAGCTCTCTCCTCGCGTGCAATTTGCGCTGTGCTAGTCTGCAATTTTGCCAGTCATTCTCTGATCCTATTGCGTGGACGTCGACCGTCGCCTGCCTCACACGAGAGTCTGTATATGTATTTTAGGCTCGAACAAAGTATTATCCCGCTGTTTACGTTTGGTATTAGGGTCACCGTTTATACGCTATTGTGTATATAATCATCCATCACGCGATCGTTCCGAAACTGTTGCTGTGCATGACGTCATGTTACATTCCTGAGATGAAACCCACAAGCATTCACGTACCTGTCTCCTCCCATCTCCACACTCATCTTCATGCGTTCAGGTACATGGTTATTGCATTTTAAGTGACCTCTGCATGCCCCTGGGATTGAACGCTGCCGAGTAAATAATATATGCATGACGGTTACGATATGATTGAGAAATCGACACGCGTCCATGTTTTGCAGCGTACAAAGTGGAGACAACTCAGGTACTAGGCAGGACTCCGACAGTCAGCAATCAGAGGTGAGTATGTGTGGCCGTCGATGGCAAGCCGAGAAAACACGCGCTGCTCCCACCCACACACGCACATGCGCGCGCGCACACACACGGACCTACACGCATGCACGCCACTTCACAATCACATTTCATATGATTGAGCGCAGATAAACGTACATGATAGGTGTTCGCTACGTGCACGAAACACCCACAGAACTGCCAGTGGGGCGTGTCGCTACCTCCCGACCCCTCCCCGACCCCAGGGATTGCGAGGAGCGTGGATATCCATCTCGTTGCGGACGAGGCGATTGTTGCGTGCTTGAGGATGGAGCGCTTCGATTCGTTTCGCGTGTTTATACGCAGCCGTCAATGTCGTGCGCTTTTTAATGTCGACGCGTTTCACAGGCACACGCGCACGCGAGCAAAGTTAAAACATTCGTGCTACGCACGCACACACATATCCCACGCACGTACACGCAGACGCACGCATATACGCACACACGCACACAAACGCACAGACACACGCGTGAACGTGCGTACACACGCGTACACGAACGCACACACCCACATGCACCCCGCACGCATGAGACGCCGGAAAGCCGAACCTAAACTGCCTCGTTCTCTTTCTCTTACTGACTCTTTCTCGCGTTTTCTCTATTTATTGCACTCTTTCCGCCCTATCTCTCGCTCTCTGTCTCTCTCTCGCTCCTTCTCTGTCGCCTCTGCGCGCGCTCTCTCTCTCTCTCTCTCTCGCTCTCTCTCTCTCGCTCTCTCTCTCTCTCTCCTCTCTCTCTCTCTCTCTCTCTCTCTCTCTGCCTCTTTCTATTTCTCGCACTCTCGCTCCTCTTGTCTCGCTCTCGCTCTCGCCGCAGCACACGCCCGCAGTGCGTTGCGTAGCAGGGAGATCCCTCGCACCCCCGGGGGAGCGCGCTCCATCCAAATGAAGCTCGTCGTTTATAGCGACGTGGGGGCCGATTGATCTCGAGCGAGCAGAGAGACAGCAGGCGATACACACGCCGTCGTCTAGCTCTCTCGTTGCGAAGCCAGCCGACGCATCGCTGCGTCGCGATCAACAGCCGTTGTCAAGCGTTCGGCGCGATGTTCTGTCTGGTCGGGTTCTAGCCAAAAAAAACACCACTCGATGTTCATATCGACGACGTCGTGTCGCTTCTTCAATTGCTGGCGCCGTTTGGCATCGCGCCAATTCCCCCCCCCCCACCCAGCTGCTACTCGGGCTGCTTCGGAACGCTTTTGCAAACTCGTAAATCTTCGGCGTTTCGCGCGTTTTCGGAAAGCAAAATTGAGGCGAAATTTGCCGCATCTGTCCGTTTGCTTTTTCGCAAAAATCGCTTAGAGTTGCAAGCGTTTGGCGGTCGTCGGCAGAATCAAGCGCGTCGTCGCTGTAAGTGTACGTCGCTGGAGCGCGCATAGAATATACCCGCCGACTGCAGAACTGTACGATCGCGGCTTTTACAGCCGACTATTCCCGCGCGCTCTGGGTTCTAGAATCAAAACAATTCCTTATCTTGCTCTCTTTTCACACGCGTTACAGCCTGCAATATGCAAACCCGGGGACGTGTCTGTCAAGCACCATACCGTGGCGCCACCGTCGCGGCAGACCGTCGAAGACAGAGGACGCCAGCTGTTAAACGACACCGAACGCAAAACAATGGGCTACTACTTGGACGAGTACGGAAAGACGAACGTGACAGTGGATGCGTTAGTGCTTGCTTTGTTTGAGCTGTTCGACACCGATGCCAAGGTAAGCGGGTGGGTAAGATAACTAGTAAAGACAGTTACAGCTAACGGTATGTAAAAGGAGTACGGGACCGAGAGAACGTGTAGAATTCGGTGCGTTGTGACACTCGGCGCGTTAGCGGGAACGTACGTAACGCACGCCCTCACTTTTCCGTCACCTCGCTTATCGAATTTCTCAGTACACGTTAATTTGACGGAACCCGATCGCAGTCGCAAACAGAGTCTCTTGTTTAAACACTGAAATCAAATGGTAGCAACCTAGTTTCAAAGACGATCAGATCCAATGTCGCGCGTACTGATCGCATGTCTATCCTGGTTCAAACAACTATAATATATTTTAGAATGCTATAATGTGACATGCGCCCATTACCTATACAGTACTGATTTAATTATTAATTAACGCCAGCGTGCATTTGCACATGAACCCCTCTAGCGTGAAATGCACTAAAGTCTAAGCAAATATCAAGCATGTAAAGTGCATTGATATATCGAATATACACCCATATACAACCGATATGTGTACACGGCAAATCTATGGCGAAGTGTTCCTCCACATGCTAGCTGGACTGATTAGTTTATAGTTCTGTTGCTCGCAAAAACGGGGAAGTCAATAAACGGAATTTATTAGTGGGAACGCAGTTATAAAACGCATTTCAGCGAGTTTTTCTCGTATAGTGGTGCTCCAACAAGCCAGCGATATCTGCGTTCTAGGTTAGAGCGGAAGTAGTTGGATAACGAAGATGTACCTAGTAGTAGTGTCACGTGGGAGCCGGAGCATGGCAGATAGCACTCGGGCTGCCGCGTAGGCTGGCATTCATCCAGCTTTGGGAGGTCGAGCTTGTTTGTTACAGTTAATAAGCGTGATGCAAATCCTCGGACGTGTCTGTTAAAGTGTGTATTGCGAGATTTTTGCTTAGAAAAACTAAATATAGCTGAATATAGTCTCACCTGACAGCGGAAATATCACTGATTACACCAACATTAAAAATACTAATATTTTATGCAGTTATAGCATAGAAAATTGGATATGAACACATCGTAACAGCAATGCATTTTATTGTGTCGCGATAATGCCTAATGGCAGAATTGGTAAACTTGTATTTGTGTCGGTGATTAATTGAAAACAAGTGCATGATTGGAGAGAGCCTGTACTTTGTCTATGGCAGATAAGCGGTGGCGCCACTAGCTAATCCATACTTCCGGCTAGTTTCAAGATGACAACAAACGATTGTTTACCAAACTAGTAGTTCGAAACTGCCACTTTTTTGGTTAATACGAAGGTTCTAAGACATTTTATTGTTACTCTAGACAATTGCTGTTACTCAAGCAATAACGGTAGGTGTCATGAAAGTGGTGAAAACACTGGAAAACTCTCGCAATAGTTACTTTAAGCAACACATGGTGGCGCCACCATCGCGGCAGGCAGTCGAAGACAGAGGACGCCAGCTGTTAAACGAGACAAAACGTAAAACAATAGGCTACTACTTGGACGAGTACGGAAAAGACGAACGTGACAGTGGATGCGTTAGTGCTTGCTTTCTTTGAGCTTGTCGACGACGATGCCCAATGATCAAGCTGGATCAGTCACCGGCGACAATTCTCAGATTAGCATGTTCGCGTGGATATTAACGACTGCACCCCCGGTTTATTAAGACGGGGTGGTTTGTGCGGGCTTATGACGGCCTCTATGCAAGCGAATCCGACAGAATAACGACCAAGCCGATTCTCTCGTGCCAAATCCGCAGCGATTTTATAAATATTTCACTAAGCAGAGCATAACGTGCAAGCGGGTACATCGCCTAGGGGTTGCACGGCGCGTGGCGACGTGCATCGATGTGAAGTATAGGGTGTCTACAGGCGATGTTTTGCGAGTCGGCTGGGCGTGGCGACATGTGCGCGGCACCTTGGCGTTGTCCAAACCGCGCTGCTCAGGAACAATCTTTATATTGGTATTGGTATATATTCTATATAAATAAATATGAATATAAATATCTATATGTGTGTGTGTGCGTGCGTGCGTGCGTGCGTGCGTGCGTGTGTGAGTGACTGTGTGTGTGTGTGTGTGTGTGTGTGTGTGTGTGTGTGTGTGTGTGTATCTACAACGCACCCGGCCTGTTGTTTCATGTTGTATCTCTCCACGTTACACACGAATTTTTGCGCAAACGCAGTTGAATGTGCGAACTCCCTTTCGGTTCGCATCGACCATTATCGGTTTCGTCGTCGTCGTCGAC